TTTTGTTTAAGATTTTTTCATAGTGGATGGTAATTACTAATTAGTGTTGTCAAGACCGACCCGACCGGCCAGTAGGACCGGTAAAATCGAGACTCGGCCGCCAAGCTGGCCCAGTTGAATCCAAAAGCAGCGGCGGCTAGGAAGGACAGTTTTTTATTTCTGACCATCTAGAACTCTCGATCTGCCTCTCTCAAGCTTCTTCGGTTTCACCTCCTCTGAGGCACCGACCAGCAACCCATCGACGACTCATCCGTTGCCGGCGAACCACACGTCCACGACGACAAGCTCCCCCTCTCATTCGCTATTTGTGTTAGAATTACTTTTAGCCTATGTAAGTCTCTGGAAATTCATCTTGTCAGATATCAAAAGTTGATCGAAATACCTGGATTCATGTCGTAGATCATCTCGATCTTTGATGCGGAAAGCGATGGATGATCTAAGATCGGCTGATACTTGCAGCAGCATGACCGGGGAGGTTTTGCAGCCTTCCTCAACCAAGCCTCCTCAGTTCACCTCACAGGATTACCTCTGATTTTCCTGATGGAGAGAATAAGAGAGCAATTTGGTATTGGTGTAGTGGAGACCACAACCTCTAAATGGTTCCTTATATAGTGGTCACCATGGGCTCCCATAAAAGCCAAGGTTAGTTAGTATTGGATTTTCACCCATTTAGTTCCATATCAAAACAAGACATCTTTAGGCTCCTGATTTGGATCACTTTTAATTAGTCTACATAACCAAATAATTCATATAATTGTAAGATATGTAGCCCATATCATTATAGGAAATAAAATTTCCTAACAATCTCCCACTCGGCCTGCATATTTTCCTTGAAACAATTATATCACAAAATTCTTTAGGCACCCAACCGTATGCTATAAATACTTAGACATCTCCTGAAACAATCTGGTCCACCTCATGTATCAATTATGGAATCAACGCAGCTTTAATCACGATATGATAATGATTAAACCACCATGATCACTACACCAACTCATTCAATGACATAGATCAAATATGGATGAGTGGCATAAAAATTAGGATAAATACAATATATTAGCCAGAACTATTAAGCAGCGGGAAATTATAGCCACAATTATTGAAATACAAATTATTAACCAAACATAATGCTAACATGATCTTCAAGGTTCGTGGTGTCGTTGTACTTGGGCAACGTAAGCTGATTCCCTGACATTTGCTCCGCCATTATCTCGACCCACAGGGAATGGTGTAGCATAGACTGCTAGGGAGGTTTTAGTTTGGCGAGAGTTGCTGCTCCAAGAAGTCAAGGTCCACCCTGCCGCTAAGACTAGGAGTGTAGTTGCGGGGATTGCTCCCTCTCTAATAGGCGGGTACTGTCAGAAGACTAGTGGTTGCGGCTTCTCCTCGACGGCTCATGAGTGCGATAATTGATCCATTTTGCTTTGCATGTCATATATCAGCTTGTTCTGTTCAATGTAGTGAAAAGCGAGTTTCTACGTAGAAACGTTTTGGTGATCTAGAAGCATAAAATCGTAAGTTTTTAAATTTTAAAGAAGAGTTTTTAACTACGTAAGTTGTAAAAACCAAGTTTTTGTGTAGAAGCGATTTAGTGACCTAGAAACGTAAAGTCGTAAGTTTTTAAGTTTTAAAGCGCGATTTTGACTACATTGGTTCTGTTGACTCATAGACACGTGTTCTTTATTGGACATTTTTGGTTCTTCTTCCTTGACCAGCATGACATTTTGATCCCACGACACGCTGAAAAGACTTTGGTTGTTCATCACTTTTAATAGAGTCGTCTCGTTTGCCATGGAATCTACGACGGATTGGCCTTCTCCTTGCGTGTGATCTGTTTGTTTGTCATACTCGCGGCCCCACAATAGGCATCAATTTTTTGTGCCTAACTGAGGTGTAGGAGGTAGACACGTGAGGAACTGGGTCTCTGGTAGCCTTGTATTCATATTCAAGCTTACAAGTGGGAATCCAGAGAGATACAAGAGAGAGAAAGTAGGTTGCTTCCAGTCTCTAGAAAACGCCCCCTTCCCTGGCAGAGTAAATGCTCTATTTATAGCATATATTGTGGTAGGTGGGCATTCAATGCGACAAGACGTGGTGTCAGACGAGGTAAGCGGTCTGTTCGCAGCGCGCATTTTCGCCGCACGACACAACCGTGAAGTGCTATGAGTTAGATGAATTTTGCCGCGCCACTAGTTAGTCATATCCCCAATAGTCATCCCTACTAAAAAGTGACAATTGCTTCGATTTTTTTTCGTTGAATTGCTTCGAAAATTTTATTTTATATTTAGAATAACAAATTATAGAGCAAGTTAGATATTTGGGTCCGAACTTGTGTCAGTTGACAAAAAATCTAACAGAATGACTTTTATGTTACCGAACTATAAGGGCTTCCTTTGTTATAAATATAGCACATTAGTTCCTTTGTTATCTTTGTAGAGGATTAATGACTTGATTATTATTGAATAGGAAGATGGGTTTTATACCCAGAATTACAACAGAACTAGCTTAACCCTAGCAGCACGTTACAGAGAAGAGGGAGTAGTGCTGTAGTGGTGCGGCTGAATAGTAGGAGGTAATTAACAGAAATAGAATAAATAAAAACAATAATTATCTATCCTTATCACGCCCCCGCAAGATGGTGACGGGTACGACACCAATCTTGGCACGAAGTAGATGAAAACGAGTGATCGGCAATGGCTTGGTGAGGGAGTCAGCCAGCTGGTGTGCAGTAGGAATGTGATGAACATGAAGAGCACCGGTGTGAACAAGTTCGCGGACAAAATGGAAATCAAGGGCCAAATGCTTCATTCTTGAGTGGAAGACCGGATTGGTGGAGAAGTGGACAGCACCAAGATTGTCGCTGTGGAGAGCCGGGGATTGTGGCAAAGGTTGATGAAGCTCGGTTAGCAGGTTTTGTATCCAGAGTAACTCGGCGGTAGCATGGGCCACGGCTCGGTATTCAGCCTCAGTGCTAGAACGAGCAACAGAGCGCTGCTTCTTCGACTTCCAGGAAATGAGATTGCCACCATAATATATAAGATAGCCCATAGTAGAGGTACGATCATCCGGATCGCCCGCCCAATCAGAGTCAGCAAAGGCAACCAGTGAGGGCGAGTCAGCAGGAGATAAACGAAGACCATATGATGCAGTACCTTTGAGGTAACGAAGTAGACGTTTAACGGATTGCCAATGCAGCTGAGTCGGAGCATGCATGAACTGCGATAATTTGTTGACAGCAAATGCAATATCCGGGCGGGTACAGAGGAGATACTGGAGAGATCCGAGCACCTGTTTGAAGAGAGAGGGATCGGCCGGAGGTGAGCCATCGTGGAGGGTAAGACGAGTCGTCGAACTGAGCGGTGTGGGGGCTGGCTGGCTGGCGGCCATGCCGAAGCGGTCAAGGATGTCGACAACAAATTTGTGCTGGGAGAGTATCATGCCGGAGGAGGACGGAAGCACCTCAATTCCGAGGAAGTAGTTAACAGGCCCGAGGTGCTTAAGGGAGAAACGGGCAGCCAGGCGTGATTGAAAGTCTTGGAGAAGAGATGGGTCGTTGCCGGTGAGTAGAAGGTCGTCTACGTACACCAAAAAATAAAGGAGAGAGCCATTATTGTGGTAGACAAACAAGGAAGCGTCACTAGTGGTCTTGACGAAGCCCTCGCGTTCAAGAAAAGTGCATAGCTCCATATACCAGGATCGAGGAGCTTGACGGAGGCCATATACAGGGCGAGAGAGACGACATACATAATCCGGGTGAGCTGGATCCTGAAACCCGGGTGGCTGAGCCATGTAAATAGTCTCCTGTAAAGAACCTTGGAGAAACGCGTTATTCACATCGAATTGATAAATAGGCCAGCGATGAGTCAAAGCAATAGTAAACACAGTCCGAATCGTAACAGGCTTCAGAACAGGGCTATATGTTTCATGATAATCAATCCCGGGTCGTTGAGTGAAGCCTTTGGCCACGAGGCGGGCTTTGAACCGATCGACCGACCCGTCCGGGTTGCGTTTGATGCGAAAAAACCACCGACAGCCGACAACATGCTGGTCGGGAGGACAAGGAACCAGCGTCCAGGAGTTATTGCGAAGCAAGGCATTGAACTCAGCAAGCATAGCAGATTTCCAACGAGGATCAACAAGTGCTCGCCGAATAGAAGTAGGTTCAATGTCAACATAAGATACCTGAGCCGAGAAGAGTTTCTTCGGCTTAAAAATGCCATGCTGGCTACGGGTGGCCATCGTATGAGATCGAGGAGGCAGAACTTTCGCCGGTGGCGGTGGAGGACGATTGTGTTGAGAGGACGTAGCCGGTGGGGAATCGGGGACGCGGGCGGCATGGGGACGTGCATGAGCAGCAGCGGGCGCAGGCGAGGGTATGGGATTGGGTGTTGAAGGAAGGAGATAATGTTGTACAGGGGGAGAAGTGAGAGTAACCCAATCGATGGGAGTGATAGGATGGGACGAGGATGAGGAAAGGCCAGGAAATGAGTCCTCAACAAAGAGAACATGACGGGAAACAAAAAGACGTTGAGTGGCGGGGTCGTAGCACTTGTAAGCACTTTGATTGAGAGAGTAGCCAAGAAAAATGCACGAGCGGGAGCGAGGGGCTAATTTGTGCGGGGAGTAGGGACGAAGCCACGGATAGCACAGGCAGCCGAAAGAACGGAGTTTGAGATAGTTGGGAATTTCGTTGAAAAGAGAGAAGTAGGGAGTGGCACCACGAAGGGAAGTGGAGGGAAGGCGATTGATGAGGTAGGTAGCGGTTTGAAACGCATGAGACCAAAAAGAAAGGGGGAGGCGAGCTTTATGAAGAAGAGCGAGGCCAGTTTCGACGACATGGCGGTGTTTACGCTCGGCAAGGCCATTGTGTTGTGGAGTGTGAGGTGGGGTTAGGAGATGGGTAATACCGTTGGTTTGGAAAAAAGAACAAAGTTTTTGGAACTCCCCACCCCCATCACTAAACACACGACGAATGGTTGTATGAAAATAATTACTAATCATCGCGGTGAAAGTGGTAAAAACATGAGAAACATCGGATTTGCGGGATAATGGATAGAGCCATGTGTAGCGGGTAAAATGATCGACAATGACCAAGTAATAAGAATAGGCATCAAGAGAAAGTACAGGGGAAGGCCCCCAAACATCCATGAACAATAAATCGAAAGGACGAGTACTAGTCAAACTCGAAACAGAAAAGGGAAGTTTGTGACTTTTATGAAGCGAACAAGATTCACAAGAGGAACAGAAAGAGTGAGATGCAGGAAGAGCCTGAGTACGAAGTAAACGGGACAACAGCTTGGTGTTTGGGTGACCGAGGCGATGATGCCAAGTGGAGGCAGTGGGTGTTGTGGCGGACAAGGCAAGGCGAACGGGTTGGGAAGCCACCGGCAGCTCATACACGTCGTCTTTATTCTGGCCGCGTAGCAGAGGCGCCCCCGTGGCTAGGTCCTTCACAACAAAACAATCAGAGAAAAATTCCACCGAAACCGGGTTAGTTTTGCATAATTGAGCAACAGACAGCAATCGACGTTTAATGGCCGGAACACAAAGGACATTCTGAAGAGCCAAACACGAGGAGGAAGTAGAGAGATGAGATTGCCCAATGTGGGAAATTTTCAGACCTGCCCCGTCGCCGACAATAACCTCGTCGGGACCATGGTAGTCGGTGTAGAGGGAGAGACCACCGAGATCAGGGGTGATGTGGTTGGTGGCGGCGGAGTCAAGGAGCCAGCCGGAGGAGGTAGAGCCCGCGGTCATGGTGTGGTGAGCTTGAGGACGACCACGAATCTGGTAGCAATCTTTGGCAGTGTGACCCGTCTTGTCACAGAATTGGCACAGGGGTGGAGGGCGACCGAGAAGGGATTGGGCAGAAGAGGAGCCGGTCGAGCTGGGATAGCGACGGGCGGGAGAGTGACCACGGTACGTGGTATCGGGGTAGACCGAGGAAGCCACCTGCCGGGACCGACGAGGACTGCCACGGCCACGAGCAGCGGGAAAAGAGTGTCCACGAGTAGATGAGAAGGCTGTGGTAGGAGCCAGCGCAGAAGAGGACCGATGGGCATCGAAATCAGCTTCAAAATCAACCAGACGGTCATGAAGATCTTCTAGGGCAATGGTGGTGTCGCGAGCACGAAGAGCAGCAGCGAGAGGACCATACTCCTCGCGGAGACCGCGGAGAATATGAAGAATCAGGTCCTCGTGCGACACCGGAGCCTGAACAAGAGCCAATTCAGCGGCCACGGATCGCATAGCTTGAAGATAGACAGCAACAGGGCGAGAACCCTGAGTCTCTCGGCCGAGTTTGGTTTTTAGGTTCATAACGCGTTGCCGCGACTGAGAGGCGAACATGCGTTCCAAGATCAGCCACGCATCACGGGAAGAGGCGGCCGAGGTGACATATGGAGCAACGCTGGGGGAGACAGAGGCCAGTATAGAATGGAGAAGAAGCTGATCTTGGCGAAACCAATGAGTACGTGTGGTTTCCGGAGCATCAGAGGCAGGTTGGGGAAGAGAACCATCAAGATATTTGAGGAGGTCGAGCCCTCGGAGAAGAGTGACGAGTTGAGCTCGCCAGGTAGGGAAGTTTTCGCCAGTGAGTTTGTTGGGCAGCTGCGTAGCAGGATTAAGAGTGATAATGGTATGAGAATTGTCAAGATTGATAACGGATTCTCCAGACATGATGATGATCGGAGAAGAAGAGAGTTTAGCGAGAAAAGATGGGGTTAAGGAGATCGGAGCGCAGCTCTGATACCATGTAGAGGATTAATGACTTGATTATTATTGAATAGGAAGATGGGTTTTATACCCAGAATTACAACAGAACTAGCTTAACCCTAGCAGCACGTTACAGAGAAGAGGGAGTAGTGCTGTAGTGGTGCGGCTGAATAGTAGGAGGTAATTAACAGAAATAGAATAAATAAAAACAATAATTATCTATCCTTATCAATCTTAATATCTTTTCATAATTAAGGAGCTTGTAGAGTTGTTAATCCAAAAAAATATTTGAGTGTGTGTACATTTCTAAAATGCCTACATTTATCAAATGACTATTTTGCAAATCTTCCACAACAGACAAACCCTAGAATTAAAGTTGAAAGACACAATCAGCAAGAAACTCGATCGCTTAATCACGAACAGAGGAATAGTGACATTTGGTTAAATAAATCATATGACATATTACAACTGAAAACAACAAAACGAAAATACCAAATATATCCTACAAATTACATTCCCAGCTCTTCTGGAAACGGTCTCCTAACTACCAAGTCCACAACGGAACAGCAATAACGAAGGCACCATAACTATTTTCTCTTACTGTATAAAAGCAGACTGCAGAGTTGACATGGCCAATGGCCATCCTCTTAGCTTAAGCAAACAACTACCAAAAATATATTGGTTAAACACCGTTCAAGATGACCATCCATAGTTCCACCCTTTGGTGTGGCAGAGACATTCTTGTTCATCACCCACAATAATCATAATCAACAGAGAAGAATGAAGGGACTCTCTATATTGAAAAAAGTAAAACATGAGTAGTAAACTTAATACAAGTAGTACACAGCCATGGATGAGGAGATCAGATTCAAACAAGATCATTCAAGCTACAAATCCTTGTTCCCCCAAGCTCCAAACATTTGAAAATTTTCCGAACATGAAGGCTCCTCATCACACATATTAACATCCCAATTTTACTTACATATAGGTTAGGGGAAGGTAAAATTTGTCTCCACATTTCAAATGAATCAAGTAAGGATCTCACATTCGTGTTATTCAATTCCCAGAAGAACTGGCACTTAAAAATATCTCGGATTTCCAGGGAAGGCTTCACTTCTGACTGGTTTTGGCTCGAATCTTCTGTTCCAAGATGGCGACTTCCGTTTCCAAACTGAACATCCTGTTAAGAGCATGCATGTTCTCGAGCGTCTCACTCAAAGTCCGACTATCGCTACCATCACATCTCAAATGCTGCATCGGGCCATGCAACAGCTTGTTCACAATCCCCCTGCTGAGATCATCCACGGCTCTCCTTGTCTTCTTGGGAATATCATCCCCCATCTTAGCCAGGCATTTTTCCAGCTCAGCCAATCTAATCCTCTCTGCATACGCCCTCAGCTTCTTTATAGTAGGGACAGTCTCCAGGGAATCCCTCCAAGCTTCAAACTGTTTTGTCTCCTCAGTTATGATCTCCTGAGCTTCCATTGCCTTCCTCAACCGGTCCTCCTTGTTAGCAGCCACGACTTCCTTCAAGTCGTCAACATTGAACACACGAACATTTTCCAAATCATTAACACACGATCCCACGTTCCTTGGAACCGAGATATCAACAAAGAATCTTGACCCCTCTAAATCCTTCACGTCTTCTTTCAGGAAAAGCGGGACATCAGATGCTGTACTAGTGAAGATCACATCCGCTTCAGCAGCACAGGGGAGCATATCTGTGAGTGGCCTGTAGATAATCTCCACATCATCCTTATGCTCTTCTCTAATGGCTGCAACTCTTTCTTCACTTCTGTTCACGACCACCATCTTTGTGCAACCCTTTGCCACCAGGTGCTTGATTACCAGCTTCCCCATTTTCCCTGCCCCAACGACTAGCATGCGAGCAGTTGCATGCGCCGATTCAGGCAGTTTCATCAGAGCTAGTTCGACAGCAGCCGAGCTGACGGAGACCGCCCCAGCTGCAATGCTCGTCTCAGTTCTCACACGTTTACCAACCGATATTGCGTGCTTGAATAGCCCGCTGATGTTTCTTCCAAACCCAACAACACCTTGGCCGACTTTTACCACTTGCTTGACTTGAGCGAGGATTTGACCCTCTCCAAGAACGAGTGAATCGAGACCAGAAGATACTTCGAACAAGTGCCTCGTAGCATCATTGTTGTAGAGCAAGAATCTGTGCTCGCAGATTTCTGCAACCGGGATACCAGATGTCTGTGCAAGCAAAGGAGAAGCCAGTTAGTTTAGTTAATTAGCATTCTGATAATAACATTATGTGGCTTTCCAGATCAAAAGATTAAATTCTGATGCTAAGCTAATCACCTTGGACATCCACTCGGTGACTTCTTTGACCCCACGATGCTGTGAAAGTGCAACGACATATATCTCCATTCTGTTGCAAGTGCTGAGAACAGCAGCCTCTTCGATATGGTTCAAGTTGCAGAGTTCAGCAATGGCTCGTGGCCATTCGGCTTCTGGGATGGCAAGCTTTTCACGCATCTCGACTGGTGCAGTATGGATACTGAGTCCTATAGCCACGATGCTCGCCCTTTCCTTTGTGTATCCTGCAACCAAGTATTTTGTGTAACTCGTAAGCAACAGGAAAAACTTGAGACACAATTTTGTGTATGTCTTCACAAATCAAATTCGTCCATCCGTCACATCAGAAATCAAACAAATGAAATCCGGTTAAGACCGCCATCAACAAAACAAGGTTCAAAAGCAACCCAATCAGCAGAAAATCCGAAACCTTGAATAACAAACTGCATTGAACAGAAATCAAAATTAGATGGGAATCTACTCACTATCAGCAGCGGATGCCTTGAGCTGCTCAAGGGCAGAGAGGCTAGAAACCTTGTCGAGGTCAATATTACTCTCGGCAGTCTCAACCACAGCATCCCCTGAGGAAGAAGGCGCAGTGACCTCACATCTAAGACCTCCTTTCAGCATTACCCTCCTCCTCAAGTTATTCCGAGCGGGGTTTGGGAACGGCCGGAGCTGCGCCGGAGCCAGATAAGCCCTGAGGGACACCGACCCAGATGAGGACGCCGGCGGCAATGAAGAATTCAGGGAGAAAGCCTCCATCTTGGCTGCAGCAAGAGTAGTGGCGAGACCGCTCGAAACAGCCATTTTGAGCCGGCAGAAGGGATAAAAATTTGAAGGGGAGAAAAAGAGAATCAGAGACGATTAAAATGAAACTAATATGGTATGAGTAAGGGCGCTCGGGCTCCGAATCGGAATCTGAAACCCTAGATATCTGAGTAAGCTGAATTCTGACGCTTCAACGGAGCGCCGGCTTCCGGGAAGAAGGAGGAGGAGGAAGGCGGAGAGCCGGTCTTGTGGTTGGTCGCTGTGTGTTGGGTAATTGAGCTCGTTTTTGTCTTCGTAGTTGGAAAGGCCGAAAGGGCTTTGGTCAGGAAGGAGCGTGTGGTGGAATAATTGACCTTCTCTCTTCTCCTCCAAATTGGAGGCTGGCTGAGTATTGGGAATTCAGGATTGGGATTTGGTGTTTTGTTTTGGTGCATTCTGATTGGCGGGTGTTCTCCACGTTTTATCCACATCCCCCACTTCATCATCGCTCTATTTCCTTTTACTTTTAAGTTTTAATTGTTAAATGTTTTCTTTTTTGGCATAGATACTCGGTACTGTTTATAAGTGTCAAAACTCAAAACAGAACCCGCCTGACTAATCCGATTCGTAACTTGATCCGACTAATCCGACCCGTAATATGAATTGACTAAAAGTCGATGAGTCGTAACTCGCTCGATTCGTAACCCGATTAACCTGCAACCCAATTAAACCTGTAACTCGATTGACCCGAACCCAATTGGCTCGAACCTGACTAACCCATAACCCGCCCGATTGACCCGAAGCCAATTGGTTTATTATATATTATATAAATTTTCAAAATGGAGTTTGTTTGTTGTAAAACTAATTGAAAGTTCAAAAAAATGATATTGAGCTAAAATTGTGTATTTTAATTAAAGAAGAAGAGAAAGAAATAAGGGAGAGTTTTTATGCTTTGGTTTATAGGAAGAGAAAGAAATGGGAAATTTTTATGTTTTTAACTTTTTGGAGAAATATGAAATTTGGTGCTTAAATTTTTGGGAAAAGAAAGAAGGGGTAGTTTTAGTGTTTTGGTTTATAGGAAGAGAAAGAAGTGAGAATATTGATGTTTTCAACTTTTTTTTATGAATCGATGAGTTTCTTATTCATCAAAAAGGCGTTGCTAACAACAGTCTTGCTAGCTAGGCAAAGTCCAACCAGAAGGTGTAGAAAAAACAACGAGACTACACGGGACTACTACTACTAACTACAACCTCTGCGACAAAAAATTACCCCACCCAGAATTGTCTAACACGTTGACTTCCCAGCAAACATTCAACTTCTGTCTTAATCATCTTCAGGAGAATAGGAAGATCATTTGCTTTCTCTGCATACAAGCGCCT